TATAAAACTCTGTAATTGTAATTTATTTTTAAAAGAAAGATTATTTTTAAAGAAAAAGAGAAAGAAAGAGAGATATAATTCGGTTATCCAAAAAATAGCCCACCCGCATTTTCGGACAACCCTTCGTCGCCACGTGTTCCCGCCATAATTATCCACTCGCGTTCACCGCTTCGCCAATATTCGCAATATTCCCATTAACTCCCTAACCCGACCTTGCTCAACGAGGACCTACGACCTACCTACGCCTACAAATCGAATGAACGGCCGACGCTAACGAGCTAACGGCAACCCGCGTTCGCCGTTGATTAATTAAAGGCAAGAGCGTCGCGAAGACAACAGAGAGAGAGATTGTAGTTTTCATTAAAATGACAAGACCCCGGCGTTTCATTCTAACAGATATCTTTTTCATAAATGTGCTCAAATTTCAAATATGTAATATAAATTAATGAAAAGCGCTTAAACTTACATACACGTTTAACTTACTTACACGTTTCTAACCATTTCCTTCTCTACCTTGGAACGAAAATAGACGAAATTCAGCTCGAGAAAATCTATAAAAATTTTTTTACATTTAAAAATTTAAAAATTATAAACGTTTACATCATTTCGTATCAATTAGAAGAATTTAACTTGACACCTGAAAGTAAGTAAATTTTTTAGTATTTCCTATTGCAATTTAATTCGCAGCACATGGCGGCATTTCTTATTTATGGTTGCATAATTTTGTAACGTTATGTAACATGAGAGTGTTGTAAAAATTATCGATCCCGCCTGTCTGTTGTCTGAATTTTACGAGACCGCAAACGACGACTTTTAGACGAGTGCAATCGTCACAATCTCGAGCTGCTGGAGCGCTGTCTCTGCGTCGTTTCCATCGACGACGACGTGCTACCGACCACTTTTAACAATCCCATGAAGAAAGAGGACCGATGGATCGGCGATCGAGATTACGCGAACGTGCTTCATCACGCTCTTCACGGCGGAGGGTCCCGACACTTGGGCGCGAATCGCTGGTTCGACAAAACCTTCCACGCGATCCTCGGCAAGGTACGTCGACCCAAGAATTTAATAGACAGAATTCAACAGACGTAATGTGTTTAAATGCTGCAACGTCGAGATTAATCAAAGTGCAACCGAGAGTGCACTTGACTAAAAAAAAATAAGTTCCTAACTAATGATTACGTTCGCCGTTCGAATCTTAATTATGTAAGACGCATCACGCGATGTGTAAAACATACGTTTAGCACAAATTCCTGGGAATTCCTAATTGAGCAGGCAACAATTCCCAACGATGTATCTTCCGATGGATGCGCTCGGTCAAATTGAACTTATCACTTTCTCCGCTTCCAAGACCACTCTTCTTGATTTGATTGGTGTCAGGGTTCACGGGCGAAATCGCGGCTTCGTGAAGCCGTGACGTTATGACAACATACTTTCATATCTCTCACGATGGAATTCCTTTAACCCTTTCCTGGACGAAATGTTTCCACGGATGGAGAAAAATAGTCCCGCGCATTTGAGTCTATCTTCATGTCATATCGCATTTATGATTGATTCCTTAATTAGTCTTTATTAGATAAGATTAAATATTTCTATAGATCAATTTTATTTATTAATCATATTGCATAATATATGAAATTGTTTTGTTTACTCTGTTCTAAATGTTAACATCAATATTAATGCGCAATAATAATATGTTAATAGATAAAACAAATGATCGTATAATAATTGACATTGTGTAACAATAGCGGCCAATATATTATGGAATATTGGAATATTTATTTTAAAATTCTAATTATTTAATATGCATAACATTTTACGCACGTATTTCTATATTATTTACAAGATGACATTTCTATTAATATTTTTTTAATTTTTCCAATATCGAATTTATATTTTTTATAATTTATTTGACTAACTTAATATCTTCTATATTTAATATTAATAATTTTATCATACGATATTTATACACATTTGTCGCATTTTTCATAAATTTATTCATCGTTTTTAATATTTCGGAAACGACCTATTTCTCAATCTAAATGAAGCAGTAATTTTTTTTTTCTTTATACTTCTTTCTTTTCTCTCTGCTGCAGAATTTCAAGGGAAATGCTATTTTTTTGATTCGCGATTGTTTCGCAAATGTTTACAATATAGGACGGAATGTGGGGACTGACGTACGAGCATTCCGCTGGCGAGGCACCGGCCGTCTTCAAAGCTTTCGAGGAGATAACGGAGAAGGTGGACTCTATGTCGCCACCGGATGAAAATCTGGTACCTTCGCATCTACCGGCGCCCGAGAAGCTAGAATGGTCCCTCACCGAGCAAAGTTTAAACGACATTCGAGAGGCCATGATGAACTTCGACGCGTGAGTAGCTTCGTAAAGAAAGAAAAAAGAAAAAAAAAAAAGAAACTTTAGTTCGTTCCCATTTTTGATAAATCGACTCGTTATCGAAAATCGTTAAAGAAGAAAGTAACTATCGAAAGGTCCTTTACGCTAAATCTCACGTGCTCACAATTAGATATCTTTTTCGCGTTTCTCAGACTGGTCGAGGACTTGGATCTCTGTATTCTGTGGTTCGAAGATTACTCGAAGGAGTTCGTCAAGTCCTGCAGAATCAGCCCGGACGCGTACATACAATTGGCGCTTCAGCTCACGTATTTTAGGTAAAGCATACCGGAAGAAGAATTTCTCTAAAAAGTAAACTTTCAAGTCCTGTCACGATTCGCGCGCGGATGTGCATTATTAAGTGAAAAGAGTTTCAGTCACTCCGACGTTACAACATCTCGAGAGCAAAAATTAAGGAACAAAGTATATAGAATATCTTTTATTTGCATTGCACTTTTAACTTTTAATGGAGATCAAAGAAGATGGATTTGAAAGTCGTTAATAAATTAAATATCGCACCAAGCGATCGTCGTTTCATCGGCATCATGATACTTTCGCAATTACAATTTTATATTAACATACGTTACATTACTCGTTTGCTACATTATTATAAAAAAAATTACAATTTTGCTATTTGCAAAAAAGAACAAGATTTTAGAATTATTGATGTCGATGATGAATTAAATTTCCAAAATTGTTTATTAAAAGGACAGTTTTGAAGAATGCCTTAAGTCAAAAAGGATTGTTTACGTTTGTTTTTGTAGACTCCACGGGAGATTGGTGGCAACTTACGAGAGCGCCGGCATCCGGAGATTCGCGTTGGGTCGCGTGGATTGCATCCGGGCCGCCAGTCCGGAAGCATTGGCGTGGGCGAGGGCGATGTGCCAGGGCGACCCCCATGGTCAGACGAATCAGCCGAACCACGCCGTGGACGGGAGCCCCAAAAGAGTTCAGTTCACCATTTACAGTGTAACTGAAACTTGGCATTTTTCCTATGCGATTCTCGTGTCGTGTAACACACACAGCTCGAGTACACTCGACAGAACTACGACAAGGTCGAGCGGAATGCGTTTACCTACTTTACTTTCCTCCAGTCTCGCCAGTGCCTTTGATTCTTTAAGCGCATCCCTTTTATCAAGTTGCTTTACAAGAATACACGAATAAATTTTATTTCGTACGAATTATTTTGCGTAAGTTCTCTGATATAATTTATGGTAATTTATGATATATACTTCAGTTAAATCAGCCGTTTGTTTGCGCCAGATAAACGAAATCTTAACGGTATTCTGCAAGAGTATCATATGTAAATCACGAAAAAAATTAAATAAATGTTAAAAATGATAAATGATGTAAGGATGAAAAATAATTTGCGAAAATTCGGTATTCGTGACTTGACCGATGCTCTTTAAAACGCTCTTTAAAAAAATTTTCGTTTTAATATTTCTACTATTTAATATTTCTACTAGTAACTTTATCGTAGAAAATTTAGATATGATCGTGAATTTAAAGATAATTTGTATCACGATACATCTTTTGCAGTGTTACGACAAATTTCTGAGCGGTTGGTCGTATTGCCCATTTGCATTACCAGATGCATCCACTTATGACAATTCGGTATAATATCTATGCTGTTTTTTTTCGTTTATAATCACGTGTCCCTTGTCCTACGTTATTATATAAAATTATTAAGTTATTATCAATTATTTTCTTCATTTAGATTATTTTAGTTCATATTGTTTCGTTATATCAGTTATAATACATTTACATTATTTTGGATATTTGTATATGTTTATATGGTACTTCCTATAATTACAATTTTATATTAACGTATGTTACGTCATATATCACTCATTTGCTACAACATTATTTAAAAAAATTATAATTTTGAAGTTATTTGCAAAAAATTAAGATTTTAGAGTTCTTGTTATTGATGTCGATGATGAACTGAATTTAATAATAAAATAAAATTGTAATTAATAATAAAATAAAATAATAAAATAAAATTGTTTATTAAAAAACAATATCAAGAGTGCCTTAAGTCAAAAAGGATTGCTTTATTATAATAAGAATTTAATATATTGAATGAAGATCTAACAATATTTTTATTATTCTCTAATCAATTATTACACTAAAATCGTATTTAAAAATAATGTGATAAAATTTTAATTATTTAAAATATCTAGATTTATATTCTGGAAAATCTTATTTTTTCAATTATATTGTTATATTGTACGAAATGAGTGATATATGTATACTATACTATGCTTCAGCTGAGTTTTAGCTAAGATGCACGAAGATATCGGTGTGTAATCATTCGATATTCAAGTTTCTACATCAGTAAACATTATTTATACGTGATATTTATTTATGTTATATCGCTTTTTAAAAATTGTGTTTAATAGAGAATGTTCAATGAACATTTCTCTCTTCCTCTTCCCTTACGTTTTCTCCAAACACGAGTTTTAATATAAAAGTTCCATAATATTAGATAAGAAGAAAAGCAATTATAAAAATTGTTTGTCGTGACAAGATCCACCAAATTTAAACAAACACCGGATGATGAATAAAAGAAAATAAGAAATTCCCGAGGAAAAGACAATCAATTAGGCCGAACCGCTGACTCGGTTCGTTTTCGCGATCGAGTATTTGCACGATTCTCGAGAGGCCTCGGGCAAGTTCCATGGGGATATTCCATTTGTTTCCCTTACACGAATCACCCTCGTTCGGAAAATACTGCGGCAACGAGCTGTTGTTTCTCATTTACCGCGTTCGGTTGTTTCCCTTTCAGCGAGATGTTATCTCAGCCGTTATCTTCTTTTCCTTTTCTTGTCATTATCTAATTGTTTATAGCGAATCAAATTCTTTCGAAGCGATATTATTTCAAAATTCATTGCAAAACTATTAATCCTCAAATTTGCGCTGTTGCTTGTTTGTAACTGGTCCCCGCAAGCTTGTTCTCTTTATTTTGCGAAAATCATTAATTTATCTTCTATCTTTAAAATTTTTAGTTTTTATATATTTGATACATAATATCTCGAGAATTGACCTAACAAACATCAACCGCTCGATGTTGCTTTTCACCGCAATAAGCTTGTCACAGAGTGTCGTCTACCTTGCAAAAAAAATAATAATCACAAAAGAAAAATTCTCCACCTATTAAAATCGGATTATCATGAAAAGGAATTCACGGTACAAATCAATAATATACACATAATTAGACGTAGAGAAATTAGTTTAAAATTTATTTGAGATATCCAGTTGAGATGTCAAGTCCGTTTAGCTAAAGTTAATGGAGGGCGTACCGATTCCTTCCGTGATTTTTCCGAGCGTTGTCACCTTCGATCGTACGTCGGGAAAATCTTCATCGAAAGAAGACTCGAAAGGTCGATCGCGTTGGACTCAATTGAACGTTGCTTCCGGCTCGGTTCCCCAGGCGGAAAGGATCAAGGAGCTGTTTGATCTGGCGGTGCAGAGGCAGACGAAAGAGATGAACGACAACATATATGGCCAGGGTATCGACAACCATCTGATGGGGCTGCGTTACGCGGCGAAGGAGGCCGGCGAGCCGATCCCGGACATCTTCACGGACGAGGCTTACGCGATCGTTAATCACTTCGCCCTTTCGACGTCACAGGTCAGTGATTAGGGTCGATCCAGTCGTCATTGGCGTCGTCTTGCAAGATTCGTGACACTCTTGTTGTATTCGATTGGTCATAATTCGCGAATTTTCACAATAAAGAGTAGTGCTCGGAAACTTCAGATGATCAAACAGTTTCGACAGTTTGAATCTCACAATATCAAACAATTTGAATTTTTCGAACTCAAGATATGTTTGAACCATGTCGAACTGTTCGAGCTCACTTCGGCAATGGACTCAATACAACATATTTATGAAATTAAAAAAATGAAGAGATTTGTAAATTAGCTGTTTTTATTACGCACGTTACGTTTCTAAATTATTTATCGTCCGAACTGTTCAACTTCAAATATAATAAATGATATTACAGATCAATCAGTATTTAAGTTAAGAAATATATGAATTGCCCAAACTATTCGGATTTTAACGTTTGTTTTCATTAGCTTCAAACTATTTGAACAGAACGAACATGCAGTATATTCAAATTTTTTATTTAAATCCTAATAATAATAATGTGAAATATCTACGATACTCGAAAAAAAATAGGCTTAAAGTTAAAATGATGTGCTTCTGAAAGATAACGCGATAATCTGAATTAGAGTTAGTGAGTTGTTTTAGCATATTCGAACCTCAAAGCTAGCATCTTTCATTCTCAGATTGCAAATATTCTGCCTCTTGATTATCTCTCGTCTACGCCGATGCACGCTATAAAGATCGTTATTTAAAATGGTCTATCACGACGAAATATAAGTCAAGTCCCGGACGTGCTGTAAGTGTTTATAAAGGTATTTAATGACTTGGACAGTTCGAGGTCGACGCGATACGATCAGTTTGTTTAAGAAGAGTTACGTAATTGCGAGAATGATTTACGTTTTAAGAGGACGCTTAATTAACATAGTATAGAGAGGACGCTTAATTAACATAGTATATATACGTGCTAATCACGCGCGTTATTTCAGTATGGCGTTTAATATTTAACCAGTTGTTGTGAGATACTTCCTCCGCGGAAACATTCCGCTCTTTTTCGTTAATTCCTAAATTTACAATTGAAAAAAAAAATAGAAAAAAAAAGAATATATCCTTCTTAGCGGCAATGAGTGAAATCTCGAGCCGTCGTTAAAAAAAAGGCTAAAGGCGCATTTTTCGTGCTGCGGCATTTGAAATGAAGGTAAGAATTTTCCCGCAGGTGACGACGAAGAACGACGTGATCGCCGGATACGGGCCGGTGGTGCCGGACGGCTACGGATGCGCCTACAACGTGAGGAAGAACGGCTTCATCTTCTCGGTCTCGGCCTTCCACAGCGACGGTAGGACCAGCGCGATGCAATTCGCGCAAACGCTGGAGCAGAGTCTGCGGGACATGGCGGCGATGATAAAGAATTCGAAGAAGTGATAAACAGGCGCGGCTTCG